TTCTGTTATAGTTCTCAGGTATAAACAGAAAAAAAAAAAAAGATGGCCTAATTTTACAATTTAAGCCCCTAAATCTCCATTTTGGAATTTCAAACCCTCACCCCACTATTCTGTAAAATGGACTTTCTCGCCCTCAAATCACTGGGATTGAGGGCAATAAAGAAGGACTAAGGAAAGGAACGTCCACTTGACTCCCCAGCCCTGCGAGGGCTGCCAGCATGGCTGCAGCTCCAGCCGACTGAGGTTTGAATCTTGGAGTCAAGACTGAAAGTCAAAATCCCAGAAGAACCCTGCTGAGGGGCTGGGGAACAGACTGAGGTGACCGGCTGAGACGTGGGCTGATGTCCCTTGGTGGGGCTGACCTGGAGGGAAGTCCATCCTGAACGTGGGGAATGATGGGAAGGTCTAGGTTTTCCAGTGCAAATTCATGTGTGTGGAGAAGCCCGTGAATGCCCGGAAGGCAGTGAGCCTCGGTCCAGAGGGTTCAGGTCAGCCATGTCCAAGGAGAGCGACTACACACCTGCTCTGCAGGATGTCACCAATGCGTCCACATAAAACCAAAACAAAGATGACCAGTAATCAGCCTCAGAGCCTCAGTTTCATGCTGATGAGGCCTGAGGCCCTTTTTGCTAACATAGAAAATATGCCTGAACATGAAGTATGTTCACTTTCACAGAGAAATTGAAAAACCTAAATATTTTTCATCATACAGTCATTGGTAGTGATTTTAAAGTGAGTCGCAAGAAAACATATAGATTTTTAGTCCCATAAATCAAACATACTCTGTATTCGGACGTTATCGGGAACAGTTTGGGATATAAAATAATAGCCTCTCAACCTTGGAAGTAAATTATAAAATTATATAGCCAAAGAAATATGTTAGCAACTACAAACCATGGTGCCTGGAGAAGAAATATCACATCCGGTAAATGGCATGCGGGACTTGATGTTTTATTGTCAGAGCGAGTGCCCTTTCTGTAGCGCAGAGAGTATTGGGGACTAAAGAGCCAGCCGCAGTAGGAAATAAATGAAGTTAGAATCAGTTCCTTAACTCAATTTATAGGCAAAGCAAATTAGGCAACAATAATAACAACAAAAATCTTCCCGCACTTGACTGAATTCCCTCCCAGCTTGCCAAGTATGTGCAGTCAGATCAATATTTCAGTAAAAATCAATAAAAACATACAGGGCAGAAATAAAGGATCCCAGTCACACTCATGCATGCAGTAAAAACTATTGTTTCTCTGACTGCCTGTAGAATGATAAGCAGCTTGAAAAAAAAAATTCTAACCCAAGTGAGTAGGATTTGAGAATTGATAGAAATTCCATTTTTCTTTGAACTGAGGGTGTGGTGTCAAGAAATTTGAATCTGGACTGTTCAGTCAACACTTGAGCTCACCGCTAATTGTGCTGTCATCTGGGTGTCCAGGAGCAAGGGTTGCATGGGGCCCGCAGGGACAGCTGCTGGAAGGTGCAGTCCCAGGAGGTCCAACCTGCTGCCTTTCCCTCCCTGTCCCCAGTGTGGCTCAGAGAAGCTGAACTTGTAGCTATCTGATGGACAGATGAATGAATGAGTTGTTAAATATTAAGACTGAATTTCTCTCTCTAGGCACTTGCAGATATTTGTGGGAAAGGCAGGGGGCTTCTTCCACGGGCGGTAAAGAAGCCAGGGTCACCTAAATTTCAGCTTCAGCCTGACCTTGGCTGGGTGTTGAGGCCGTGCCTACAGTGTGCCCACCTGCGTGTGTGTGAACGTGTGTTCACGTGTGGAGCAGAGCTCTGGAGGCCTGAGACATTCAGGCCAACCCAGTATCCCCTCTATGACCTTTGGGAAGCAGCTACCCCAGGACTTGAGGTCACATAGTGACCATAGAGACCAGCCATGAGAAACGGGCAGCCTCAAGGCAGGGTAACGCTAATCACTGGTGATGGGGAGGGGTGTCCAGCTCAAGGGAGCACCCCTCCCACCGGGACACTCTTCTGTTAGACCCACTCCCATTCAGAAAGGCTCCTGCCCACCAGGGAAAAGAGGCGCCCTGGGGTTTGAGAACTCCGGGGCAACAGTGACGCCCTGGAGACCTGGGTAGGCTGCTCATGGTAGCGCGAGTTCTAGGTGCCCAGACCTCCACCAGTGGGTGAGTGGACAAGCACCGTGGGATGTCCATGTTATTCAGCCACTGAAAGGAAGGAAGTTCCGACTCAGGCTCCAACAGGTGCACTCTGGAATGTCATGCTCAGGGAGAGAAGGCACACACAGAGGTCCAATCCCATGGGTGCCATTCAGAGGAAGCCTCTAGGAGATGGACAGCCCCAGGGACAGGAATCAAGCAGGTGGCTGTCAAGGCTTGGGAAGTCATGGCTTCCTGGGTACAGAGTTACTCAGGGGGATGAAAGTGTTCTGAAACTAGAGACCAGGGGTGGTTTTTAGGACGTCATGCTGACACTAAATGCCATCGAGTGGTCGATTTTATATTGGGTAATTTTATGTCATATGAATTTCACTGCAATAAAAAATAAAATGAATCAGCAAGGAAATTCAAGAAAAGAAATCTGCTTAGCAATGATCTAGATGCCTCTCGAAGCTGCAGTCCTGGTTACCCCCCTCTTCTCTGGTCTCTGTCAGGCAGGGTCCTTGTAGGTGAGAGGGGAGTGTGCGATTCTTTCCCAAAGGACTCTGAGTGTCAAGATGTTGGGAGCAGGTGTCACTGCACCCAGGCTTGGTGTGGTCAGGAAGGCCCTGTCACTCATGCCCAGGGGACAGGAACGCCTTGGGTTGGCTCCAGAGGGATGAGCCTCCTGCTCTCTGTTTCCTGCTGGAGCCCCTCCCTGCATGGACCCAGGTGAGACCAGGGGATGAGGGCAGGTCAGCAGGAGAGTGGGCAGGGGGAGGGGTCACAGATGATCTTGTCTACACACTCCATGGTCCTAGAGGGCCACGCTGTGCCTGTCCTCCATGCTCCTCCACAGTCTCCACCACGGGAAGACCGCAGACTGAGCCTTATTTCTAGTTCTTAGGGGCAAGCCAACATCTCAGGTGCCCTCCACAGTGTGTGAAAGCGACCCTCCAAGAAGGAGCTGAGTGGCCTGTGGTTGGACAATGCAGTTCTTGGCTCACTGGACAACCTTGCCTTCCATGGCCACCCCATAGTGACCAAGTCTAGTTGTCACTTATGCCACCTCCTTATCTGGTGTCACTGTGAGGCATCCGTGGTGGGCTCCTTTCCATGTGAGCCTTCCTGGTCTGTGCCAGTTCCCAGGGAAGTGAGCAGAGGTGGAGTCACAGGCCTCTTCCCTGGTCAGGACTTCAGAAGGACATTCCTCTGAGTGTCACGATGGCCCTCTTGGACCCAGGGTGGGCTCAACACTTTTTAGCTAACCCATCTCCATTAAAGCCTACCTCATTAACTGGACCCTCAGTCACCTCAGAGCCTGGTGTCTCATGTCGGAAGCTAAGGGACACCCAGCAAGGTCAGAGAACCAGCCAGAAGATGCCCACATGGCCAGACCCTGATCTCGTAGGAAGCTCTTTGAAATCTGTGGGGCCTCCTTCAATGAAGAAGTCACATTTGGCAGGTGTCATTTGAAGGACATAGTTTCCCTCAGGCCACTGGCCACTCTCCAGTTTTAGGGAGAATCAACAGAGGGATGAAGGATATTTGAGGCTTCTTCAACAGAAGGGACAGGGCAGGGGTCATCTTCTCTTCCAGGTTGCAGAATGTCCCTCCATCAGAGAGACACTGAAGACCCACCTGCGGCTCAGGAAGAAGCAGTGGCATCTTGTGTTGGCTGTGCTGTGTGAGACTTTTCAACTCTGATGTGGAAAATGAGAGAGGGGAACAGAAGAGGAGGAGGGAGGGAAGTGGGGTGGGAGTGTCCCACAGGCAGCACAGGTGACCACCATGCACGCAGGACAGATGGTGGTGGAGAGCAGAGGCTAAACCCTCAGGGGCACAATTGATGCAGGCATTTGTGACACTCTGAATAGACAACCAAAATGCACACTGCCAAATACCCAAGAAAAAACATGTCCATCTATGAAACTCCTAGGACATAAGAGGACACGGCCATGCACTAGCTCACGTGTCCCCTCACCTGAACCCTTTCCTTTGTTCAGCCCCTAGCTCAACACCAAGGCAGGCAGGCTCTCCCTTGCAGCCTGTCATCAGCATGTCAACCTTCTCTTTTTCTTGCTTTCTTATAAGGGCATCCTTGTGGATGTACCCTCTGGTTCCACAGTAGTGGCCACTGGCCATGCAGGATCCAGGGATTTGGCACGTTCACAGAACAGCGAGCAGCACCATCATGTGACTATAAGGCACACTGGTCACTCCCCATGTGAGTCACTCTCATGTCCCACAATCCTTCCATCCTGGACACTGCTGTTCTATCTTCTATATTTATGAATTTGGCGGCTCTGAGCATCTCCTCTCAGTTGGTCACCCTGAGTGGCTTCTGTCACAGCCTTGGGGACATGTAGCTCACCCCTGCGGGAGCTTGCCAGTGCTGCCTTCCTGGACTGCTGAATGTCACTCTGTCACATGGTCACAATCATCCCTGAGTCCTGATTCTTGAGGTGATGGGCACCTGGGTGTCTGCTCCTGAATTGAGCAAGGCTGTAGGGACATTCAAGTGACCCTGTGGTGCTCTCCTTGCCTCTTGCTACAGGTTTTTGACAAGACACACAATCTGAGCATCTTAATTTAGTCTGTGAGCCTTTCTGACTCCCAATCTCTAATAGATTGAGTAGCTCAGGTGGCCGTGTGTCTGGGCCAGTGGGTGACTGCCCACACGTTGACACTACCTTGTGAGCCTGCCTTGCAGGCCAGGTCTGCTTGTGAGAATTGGTCAAGTCAGGGCTGTAACTCGATGGGACACTCAAGGCCTGAGGCAGGAGTGGAGTGTACAGGGTCCTTAGAGGAAGTGGCAGAGGTGCCATCGCGTTGGTGCTCCCTGCCCATCTGGCCCAGTCCAGCTCCCACCATCCCGGGAGCCCAGCATACCTGCCTCAGATGTGCATATGGTCACTTTGGGTGCCTCCTCTGTGCACCTGGAGGCTCTGGGAAGTCCTGTGTGGGAGAGGGCAAGCTCGTCAACAAGCCTGTGCAGGCTGCAGCAAGGGACACACGGCATCTCCTGTGCATAACCCCCCCCCCCGGAAGAACTTAGCACTGGGGCACATGACCAGGTCTCATGAGCATTCCAGCCAGTCACTGTGGCCAATGGCATGGCTCCTGCTGATTAGCCAGGTACGTATCTTGTGAACCCCCCTCCAAGGGAGGCATTGGAATTTTAGGTAAGGTAGGAGCAGATTCCTGTGGGAAATCCAGCTTTGTTTTCAAACCCCTGGAAGGAACACAAGGCAAAAAGAATGTAACTTTAGCAAGTGACAGACTGTCTCTTCAAGAGCATTTTGTGTTAAGGACCCACTTTCTGGAAATACCCAGGAGACATTAAACCCTGAAACAAGCTCTGTCTTTCGAGTAGGAAGTGTTCCTTGTCAATTTATCCTGTATTTCCTTCAGAAGAAAATGACATCAGCATGGAATGACAGGCACACACAAGTGGTATCAAATGAGTGAGCATGAGTCTACACATGCGTGCACACACGCATGCACACACACACACACTCAAGGTGAGCAAAGACCTAGTTTAGAGCACCAGATGCCCCCCAATGCTGACCCTGGTCTCTGTGATGTGCTCTGTTTGGGGCTCATTGCTGTCTGGTACTCCACTGTCCATCAGTGGATGAATCTCTTCTATCCTTGCTTTGAAGGGGCCTGTGATAATTATGCATTTGTAAGAGAAGGTTTTTCCCAGAACCTCCTGAATGGGCGGCTCTTTCAGAATGTTAAGCAGACCATTCTGCTGTGTGCCTTGGGACTGAGTTTAGATCCCTGACATTTATTGAGAGCCATTTGTCCACAGAGGCCCAAGTCCTCCCCTCCATCCTCAACCTTCTCCCTCATGCCGGTGTTGACAGCAAGACAGGTTCAGCTGTGCGTCACCCTGTTCACTCCTGGCCACCTGGAGGATGGCTCTGGAGGATTCCAGCACGGAGGAGTCAGAGGCTTTGAAGGACCGATAGCCGGAAGCAAAGCTGTGTAGTCAGAACGCCTGGGAATGAGGGAGTAAGGAGTAGGGCTCTTTCAGAGGCCCCCAAGCAAAGAGTGCTGGCTTAAATTAGTGTTTGGAGCAGGGTAGATGTGAGTGGAAGACGAGCACCATCCATACATAGGCTTCGAGGAGGCGCGAAGTCCAGTGAACCCCAGGATAGGTGTAGATCCTATCTAAGTGGAGCTTCTGCCGCCACATTCTACCTCACGTGTCCATGCTCTTCCTTTGCTGAATGCTCAGGGCCAGCTCTTCTATAAAGATCTTCCTGGCTCAGCGTGGTTTCAGCGATTTCTTTCTCTAAAACATGTGTCACTATTTTTTTTGGTCGTGCACGAGGAAACCAAACTCAACCAGCTTCATATCAGAAGGAATAAAAGGGGAGGCATGAATAGTGGGACAGTCAGAGTCAAGGCTGCCCAAATATGTTCACAGCCCACTTCCTGGGATCTGAGAGGATGCCAGGAAGACTGTGCAGATAGGATCAAGTTAAATCTCTCAGCAGGGGGAAGCTGGCTTGGAAGATCTGGGTGGACCCAGTGCAACCACAGGGTCCTGATGGGAGGAGACAGGAGTGTCCACTCAAAATACAAAGGAAAGGAGAGGCCTGGGTGCAAGCTGAGGCCAGAGTGAAGTGCTCTGAAGGTGTGGGAGAGGCCTTTGGAAGCAGGAGAAGGGCCAGGACACGGATGCTCCCCTTTGGCTGCTGAGGGGAAGCAGCCTGCGCTGTCCAGACTTGAGCCCCAAACTGACCTGACTTCTGGCCCCCAGAAGCTCAAGCCATGTCCATGTGGTTTGAAGCTGTGAGGTTGTGCTTGCCGGTCACACCAGCATTTGCAAGCTGATGCTGCTGGCTTATAAAGTCCTAGCTGGTTGCAGGAATGGCTGGGTCCAGAAGCTCAATGAAAACAGGGTGCGCGCGCTCTCTCTCCCTCTCTCTTTCTCTCTCATCTGCTCCATCTCTGGGACCTGCTTGTCTCTCTGTTGGTTTATTTCCAAGTTCTCTCCAAGTGCTGGCTTCTGACAACTCCAGGCTGGTCAGGGTTATCTCCCGCTGACTTTGCAAACCAAGCGGAAAGAACATCCTATTTCTGCATAACTGCAGACAAAATCCAGAAATGGAGCTTCCTGGCCATCTGGAGTCACAGTCCCATCTCTGAATCCAATCACTGTGGCCTCAGGGTTAGAAGACCTCTGTCACAAGCCTGCTAAGGCCACAAGAATTAAGTGTGGGGAGGGGTGGGTCCCCAAAGAACAGTAGAAGGGACATCAAGGAACTAGGTGCTGGGTAGAAACCGTGGTGCCCGGGCATGGCGTCTCTTCTGCACTTTTATGTTTGCTAGAAATACCAATTTCCTATGAACTGTTTGTATTTTTGTGCAAGGAGAGCAGAGTGTTGGTGGCTCACTTTTGCTTTCTCTCAGCCTCTCACCTGGTGCCTGGAGGTGGTAGATGCCTACTCAGCTTTTGCAGTGTGGTCCAGGGATCTACAGGCACCAGGACTGTCTCCAGGCCTGCCCCCTGCAGGGAGGAGCTGGCCTCCTCCCCTCCCCCTAGGGCTTCCACATCACCCAGCCAGGCAGCAGGTGACATTTATACTTAGGGACATGCATTCTGGAGGCAGAGGTGTCAAAGATTGCAGAAAGACTGGTTCTCCCAATTTAAAGTAGCCGTGGGGATAAGATAAAGTGTTCTTGTTTTTTCACATTTCCATGTTGCTAATTTTCTGTGCTGGTTTTAATTTTTTTCAGTGAATGCCTGAGCTGAGCACCTCCTGTTTAACTAGCAGTGTTTTCCACCACGCACTCTTTATAATATAACATGAATGATAACAACTTCTATCAAACGTGTGGGGTGTATCCAAGAAGGTCTTCAGAGGGTAATATCCAGGCTTAAATTTGTGCATTATTAAAACCATTACAAAAAATCATGAGCCAATAATGTAATTAAAGTCTTAAAAACAACATTAAAAAAGCCTCCTGGGTTACTTACATGATTTAAATTATTTCATAATAATTTTACAGTGTTATTTATAGAAAATTTGTGAGAACACTAGAAAGTTCCATGCACTCTCATTTAGTTGAACCATTGTTAATGTCACCCATTGGTGCAAAGCATTCATCATTGCAAGGACCAGCAAGGACCCGTTGTCAATCACAGCCAGGTGACACAGGCTTTTCCTGTCTCTCCCTCATTCTTCCCCATCCTGGGATCCCCTTCCATCATCTGCTGGTTACCTTTCTGGGGTGGACGCCATGAGCATTTCTAATTGTGGATCTGTGGATTAGGGATGCTCAGCCATAAAGTCTATGTAACTATTCCAACAATCCCCAAATCCTCCAAGATCCAAAGAGAAACACTTCTGGTCCCAAGCGTTTCAGACAAGGGGCACTCTACCTCTGCCGGCATCCTTCCCAGCTTCACAGATGAGGAAGTCAGGCTCAGAGAAGGTCCAGTCTGCCTGGAGCCCACGCTATAGGATTGCCTGGGTCCACATGTGTGAAGGACCCGTCCTGGGCCCGCCCCTGCAGACACATGTGCCAGGCTTATCTTCCGGCCTGGGTTGGGCCTCCCGACCTCGGGGTCTGCAGTCCCCCTCAGGCAGCCACTCCTGTACTTGGAGCTCTTGGATGCAGGTGGCAGGCACAGAGGCCTGGGCTGGCAGGAAGAGGTGGGGAGACCCTCTTGCTCCCTCCTGCCAACGTTTGATAATATTATGCAGAAATGTTTAGATTGTTTAGCAGCCTGGATAGAGGGCTACCTTGTGCTCGATATCTATTTGCATGTCCAACTTCGCACTTCCTTCTCTCATATTTATGCACACACTTCAACGAGGGTCAGCAGCCTAGACCCAGGGGATCTGTACTTTCTTCATTTGGGTCTCCGGTGTCTTCTATTATGTAAACAGCCCCGTGAAGTCCTGTTCACTTGTATTTCCATTTCAGATGTTGGATGAGGTTATTATTGTTCACCAGGAAAACACAGCTATTGGGGACCCGCCAGTGCAGGAGTGGCCAGGATGACGTCTCGGACCCCACGTGGGCCTCAGGCCCCACCTGAGTTGCACTGTGTTCATTAAGGAGCATCCAAGCAAGCAGACCCCAAAGACAGAGCCCAGTCCTGAGTCCCCAGGGGACACTCCCCAGAATGACGAGACAAAGGGCTGACATTCCCTGTACACAGCACACACTTGTAAATCAATGAGGAGAAGTACAGTGTCACAACAGGTGAAGGGATGGTACATGAGAAAATCGTCAAAGCACTTTGCACAGAGTTGGAGCTGCTGGCATCTTACCGAGTTCTTTAGGAAAAGGGTGCAAGGATATTACAAAATGAAGCCACACGCCACCTATAGCCCTGCACCACTGTGTCCACTGCATCTGCCATGTCCACCTCTACAGGCACAGAGACAGAGGACACAGATGTCAAGTTTTATATGATGACACACAAGTGGCCAAGAGACATGGAAGAAGGAATCCGACCTTGTGTATCACAAAAAACTATTACTTACATTAATCATAATATATAATTGTTTTCAAACACACTGACATAAAAAAAACAAATAGATTAAAAATACCCATCATGCAGAAGCAAAAGAAAATGATGAGAAAAAGCCTGAGTGGACACTTCATCCAAGAAGTGGACAAGCAGGAGGAGGAGTGGTGCTTGCTCACCAGGCCAGGGAGACGCAGGCGAGACCATGGCGGAACTCATCCCATACACAACACACAAATGCCAACCCCAGGGCACAGCGTGTTAGGGGACAGGCTAAACCAGGAGCTCCTACGCCCCAGCAGTGAGCATGGAGGTCTGCGTGCATCAAAACACCTCTCTTCATGGGATCTAAGGATGCACAGTGCTTAGGGAGGAATCTTGCCCAACATTCACAGCAAAACTAGGAACCCGCAGAGACCTAAGTCACACTCAGGGCCTGGAAATCTATCTTGTCACTCCAGGTTGCCCTGAGCACAGACCTGAGGGGTACGTGCTGGGGCCTCCTCAGGGCACCAATTGT